TTTTCAACATAGTTATTTTTTTTTTTTCCTTTTTGAGGAAAAAAAAAAAATCACTATGTTGCACAGGCTGGTCTTTAACTTAAACTCCTGAGCTCAAGCAATCTTCCTGCTTCAGCCTCCAAAAGTGCTGGGATTACAGGTGTGAGCCACCATACCCAGCCTACTATTTTTAAATAAACTAGTTGCTTAACTTTTTTTTTTTTTTTTGAGACAGAGTCTCGCTCTGTTGCCCAGGCTGCAGTGCAATGGCGCAATCTCGGCTCACTGCAACCTCTACCTCCTGGGATCAAGCGATTCTTCCTGCCTCAGCCTCCTGAGTAGCTGGGATTACAGGCGCCTACCACCATGTCTGGCTACTTTTTGTATTTTTAGTAGAGACAGGGTTTCACCACATTAGCCAGGCTGGTTTTGAACTCCCAACCTCAGGTGATCCGCTCGCCTTGGCCTCCCAAAGTGCTGCGGTTACAGGCATGAGCCACCTCGTCTGGCCTTTGCTAAACATTAATGAAGCAATACTCAATGGAACCCTTCTAAAGTAGCTTTTACAAATGTCAGCAAGGAATTAGAGCAGCCTGGGTTCTATTCTAGCTTAACCATAAACTAGCATATGATACTGACAATTTGATAAACTTCTGTGGGCTCAGTAACTACACCTGTAAAATGAGACAGCTGGATTAGATAATCTCTAAATCACTCAGCTCTAAAAGTCCAAATTATAACCATTTTATCTCTGTTGCCTTTTCTATTCAATCTTCTATTTCCTCTCTCCCTTAGTACTACTGTGATAAAATGTGATCAAAGAAAAAGTACTTTAATTTTTGTAAATTCAAGGAATCATAAGCCAAATCAGATGACAAAACCAAAATGTCCTCCCAGATATTTATCAAAAAGTAGTCAATTATAGATTTGCTAATGTAATCCTCTACATTTGGTTTTAAAGTTATTTACATCTGAAATTCTTAGATACAGCAACTTCATCAATATATTTAGAAAACGCTCACATGTGATAATTTCTATATATACCTGAAGTTCAATATTTGGTGAAGCATTACTGAAGCAAGTAAAAATGAACCCTGGGCAACAGGATCATCCATTTAAAGACTATAATATTAGAAATAAAATATTTTCAACAAATCAGTATTTTTAAAAATGCAAAGACTTGAAAAGACATTTGATGAGACTTTTTACTTTAGAAACTTATATGCTATAGAAGGTTTTTAATAAATAAATTCTTATTTGTAACTATTTTATTTATTTATTTTTTGAGACAGAGTTTCACTCTTGTTGCCCAGGCTGGAGTGCAATGGCGTGATCTCAGCTCATAGCAACCTCTGCCTCCTGGGTTCGAGGAATTCTCCTGCTTCAGCCTCCTGAGTAGCTGGGATTACAGGCATGAACCACCATGCCCGGCTAATTTTGTATTTTTAGTAGAGACAGGGTTTCTCCATGTTGGTCAGGCTGGTCTTGAACTCCTGACCTCTGGTAATCCACCCACCTCAGCCTCCCAAAGTGCTGGGATTACAGGCATGAGCCACCATGCCCAGCCCTGTTTTGTAACTATTTTAAACAAAGTTTTAGTTTGGCAAGAAAAAAATAATTAGTTCCCAATTATTTATCAAAGGTACTAGAAATCATGATCTGACTTTTAAAAAAACACACACACAAAACAAAAATTCCAAGCAACATTAGGAACAAAAGTAGCACTTGACTGTAAGGAAAAGGAGATGAAGTGAAAGGTTAGATTGAAATACAGTCAATAAAATCTTCTACCTTGGTCCCATTGAATGTCTCGTTTACAATAAGTTGACATCCTTCTACAGCATCATCTCCATTAAACTCCAAAGCAATAACTGGACCTATAAGCAAACCCAAGAAGCATTTTCTTAACACAAATACAAATATATTCTAAATTTAATCTTTTTATTCTTCCCTGAAGAATCTCCAGCATCTTCCTCGAGGGTGAAAGAGAAGGAAGAGGAAAGCAGACAGATGGGACATATCACCTCAGCTGCTTCTTCCTACGCTAATCATAAAACAAATTAACACAGTCTCATAACAAGTAGCTTCAGTACTATTATAGGACTACTGTCACATTTTTAAAGTGTTGTAAATAGTCTGGCTTTTCTGGTTCTCATTCTTCTATAAAAACCACAGAAATTCTACTCATTTAGGAGTATAAAAATAGTTGATAAAATAGCAAATAAGATCAAAAGCAATCCAAGTCAACATAAGTAGGTTTTGCCAGGCAGCCAGCCTTGCTTCCAGCTCTCCTACTTATCAGCCAAGTTCTAGGCCACCAATGATGAAGCTAAGCCAAATAGGAATTGAGGCCAAGCATCAAAAGTAATGATTATCTGAAAGTATTTTCCTTGAATGTGTCTTAAAGCTACATTCTAGAAACACAAAGTTTTTATTTGTTAAATCCTTTTAATATAATATTTGTGCCTCCTTTCTCATATATTAATTTGAAAACATTACAAACCTCCTACAGTGATGGAAAAGTCTTAATCTCCAGGAAATTACAAATTTATTGAATGAAGACATAAACCTGTTAAATAAATACAAAACAACATAGAATAACGAAGTACTAAGTAATGAAATACTAGAATGAATGAATATGAAATTCTAAATTGAATGTAAACATGTGCTACACGACAAGGCACAAGAATGAGAAAGAAAAGATTATACTACATTGGGGACCAAGATAACTGAAGGCTTGTGATATTTTCTTTTTCCTTGGAGGCTTGTGATTTAATACAGGCAACAAATACAGAAAACGCGGGATATAGCGGTCCCTTGGTATCTGTGTAGGATTGGTTCCATTGGATGCTCAAATCCCTTATATATTAATAAAACGGTATAGTATTTGCATATAGCTTATGCACATCCTCCTGCATACTTGATTAAAAATTTATTAAATTTTTTTTGAGACAGTCTTATCCTGTCGACCAGGCTGGAGTGCAGTGGCACAATCTTGGCTCACTGCAATCTCTGCCTCCCGGGTTCAGGCAATTCTCCTGCCTCAGCCTCCCGAGTAGCTGGGACTACAGGCGTGCATCACTGTGCCTGGCTACTTTTTGTGTGTGTGTGTGTATTTTTAGTTGAGATGGGGTTTCCCCATGTTAGCCAGGCTGATCTTGAACTCCTGACCTCAGGTGATCCTCCCACCTCAGCCTCCCAAAGTGCTGGGATTACATGTGTGAGCCACCGTGCCCAACTTAAAATTTTTTTGAGAGATGGAATCTCATGGCTGGGCACAGTGGTTCATGCCTGTAATCCTAGCACTTTGGGAGGCCAAGGCAAGAGGATCACTTAAGCCCCAGAGTTCAAGACCAGTCTAGGCAACAAAGCAAGTCCCCATCTCTACAAAATATTAAAAAATTAGCCTGGTGCAGGGTTGCAGGCCTGTAGTCCCAGCTACTTGAGAGACTGAGATGGGAAGATCACTTGAGCCCAGGAGTTTGAGGTTACAGCAAGCCATGATCATGCCACTGCACTCTAGCCTGGGCAACAGAGCAAGACCATGTCTCAAAAAAAAAAAAAAAAAAAAAAAAGGATATGGGGTTTCACTATGTTGCTCAATCTGGTCTCAAAATCCTGACCTCAAGCAATCCTATTGCCTTCACCCCTGGCCAGGAGGTCAAGAACATTTTATAATAAAACATCCAACCTTACAAAAGAAAAGCTTAAAATCTTAAATTTTCATTTAGAAATGTAAATGTAAACTCATGATCTTTTCTTTTCAAAAATACATAGTTTCTAGCAATGTCCACTGAAAAAGCCTGAAAGAAATGACAACCCAGTAATACACAGTACCTAACATGTATTTCTAAATATCATTCTAAAATGTCATTCACCACTAAAAATAACAAAGTCATCTTAGAAAAATAGATGATTCCATGTCTGGGCCAAGAAATGGATTAAGATCAACCTGGAATATTTTCTTCAGCCAAAAAGTAATAAAGCTACCAAAGGCCAGTGGGCTTATATCAAAAGGAAACAGAAGCCAGCCTGAAGGGGCTCCCAATGGCCAGAGACATAGTGATATAGAAGGAATAATGACTCTAATTTATTAAAAATTACTAAATATATAAAAAGTCATGAGTTCATAATGATACTTAGAAAAGAGAGATCCTCCTTACTACTAGAAGTTTTTAAGGAAAATAAAAAAAGAAGAGAGAAACAAAATTCACTGTATACCAATGGAGGTTGCTAGGACACGAATTCACTACTCTGAACATTGGTGCTTATTTTTCTCTTTATTTATTCTGTTTTTCTGACATGAGCATATTTCAAGTTAACCAAACAGCTCTGGCATACAAGTTCTGTTAACATCTGTTAATAAATGCAGAGGTAATGACAAGATTAGAAAGTAAGTTTGCCAAAAAAAAAAGAGAAAGAAAATATAGAAAACGATCATTTTGCAACTCCTATTAAAATAATTGGTTCAGGCAACAATCATCAGTGGTTTTAGCAACCCACAGAGAAGACTGCAGGAAACTCTACAATAAAAAGATAAGGTTGTCACCATGTGAACCCACCCATTAACCTTAGTATCCCTAAAAGCACAACAATCAAACATTATGTGCTTTCTCAATTAAATAGGAAACAATGCCATCTATGTATTCCTGCTAAATAAATAAATAAACAAACTTGAATGTAAACAAGGCTTTGACCTAACTTCTAGTCTACAAGAAATGTGGAGGAATGAATGAAACAGCCTCATGAATACTACAGGACAACTGACCAAGCTTCTTTCCCAAGACAAAGGCAAGAAGAAGTGGGGGGGAAACACCTGTTTTTAATTGAGTGATATAAGATTAAAACAGCAACCAAATACAGTAAGTCGGTCTATTTTAGATCTGGATCAAATTAACTAAAAACACAAAGAATTATTTTAGTAAGTAGGTAAATTTGCATATGGACTGAGTATTAGAGGATATTAAGGAATTGTTAATTCTGTTATATGTGATAATGCACTGTAGTTACTTAAAACATTTTTAAAATAATGAAATATTTAGGGATAAAATGAAAGGATGAATCGATTTGATTAAAATGTTTTAGCAAACAATGAGATTATTGTTTTTTAAGTATGGCAAAAAGTTGATGAAACTGGGTCATGGGTACACATGGGGTCATTGTACTCTCTACTTTTAGTACATTTGGAAATTTGCAAAAAGAGTTTAAAAAGTATTTTAAACCAAATAAATATTGAACTAAAAAGAAAAAGTTAATAAATGTAGGGTTTCCAGTTTTGCAAAATAGAAAGTTTGAATTAAGGTAGAATATACTTTCATCACTACAAGGAAATATAGTGTGCATGTGTGTATTTAAGTTAGACATTTATTATTAAAAGTTCCAGTCTTTTTATAAAGAACATGTAATCTAGAATTCAGAAATACAATCTTGGTAGAATTACTCAGGTATATAACTTGATTGATGTTCTTTGATTAGAATATGATAAACTTGCAATAAATGACCTAATAATTTTCCAGTAAAAAAGTGGACAAGTGCATTCATTTTTATTAACGTGTGAATAATCTTAGATTTAAAAAGACTACAAGGTTTGTCTTATATGCTTGGCATAGATTTGCAACTTAGTAGTACATGGTGTTCCTAGAACGCAGCTGAAGACCTGGTATGCACAGGAAATATGAGGGGTGGTGCTAGAAGACAGACATCTGTGGAATGACTCACATCCTCTCAAGTTAGGAGGATGGAGGTCTGCTTCCTTAAGAAGCTGGGGATCAGGTGGGGGTGGGGAGACCACTTAACAACATGGGGACCAGTCAGGGGAATCCTCTTATTTCTGCTTTGCATATAAGGAACCTAGAGTAGCCAGGTGAGGCTCTCTAGTTTAATAGAAATCATGGAAAGAGTCTTATGAAGACTCTTTGTAAGTGTTAATAGGGATTTTATCAGCTTATTTTGGTTGCAGTTTCCAATTTTTAAAAATGTTTAGGTAAGGATCTCGATCCAAGATGGCCGTTTAGGAACAGCTCAGGATTGCAGCTCCCAGTGAAAGCGTAGAGGGTGAGTGGACGCCGCGTTTTTATTGCCCACAGACTAGGAAATTCCCGGGCAGAGGTGCTCTACTGTTGCCAGCGCGGCTGTTTCGGCCAGCGCAGCTGTGCCGGCCAGCGCCGCTGCTTTGCCCCGCGCGGCTGCTTTGTCGGCGCCCCGGAGCCGCGGTTCTCCGTACAAAATACACTGGTCCAGGGGCCCTTTAGGCTGGCGATTGGAGCCACGGAAAGTCGCCCATACGCTGGTTCAAAAAGAGGACTGAGCAGACAACCAGGACAGTAGATTCCAGGGCAAAAAAAACCAAAAAAAAGCACCACAAACCTCAGTGCCGCTGTTTAAGCCAGCGCAGTGAGTGGCCGCAGGGGAAAACAAACAGACCCCGGCGCCTCTTCAACAGGCGACTGGAACACCAACTTAAAAAAGGCTCTGAGGCAGGGAGCCAGGCCATCAGGTTCCGCTGGCCCCACCCCCGCAAAAGAACAGCAGCCAGAAACTCTGGATTGAGAGTTTCACAGCAAGCGCAGCTGAACCCGGGACGGTCCAGCTCTGTGGGGGAGGGGTGTCCGCCATTACGGAGGCAGCCCGCCGTTGCCAAGGCAACCCGCCATTGCTGAGGCAGCCCGCCGTTGCCAAGGCAACCCGCCACAGCAGAGACTCCGCCCCAACAGAGGCGGGCCACCATCGCCAAAGCCGTTCTAACTACACCCATAAACAGAACTGCAGGGAAGTTCACTCGGCAGCAGGGTGGAGCCCACAGCAGCTCAGCAAAGCTGCTATAGGCCGACAGTGACTAGGCTGCCTCCTTGCTGGGCTGGGCAGGTCTGAAGGAAAAAAAAAAAAAGAAGGCGGCAGCATAACGGAAACTCATAAATAAAGCCCTAAATCCCTGGGACAGAGCACCTGGGAACAAAAAGCAGTTTATGAGTTCTGCTGCAGCAGACCTAAAAGTACCTGCCCAGCAGCTCTGAATGAACAACAACAGAGCTCGCAGCTCACCATTTGAGCGCCTATAAAGAAGAGACCGTCTCCTCAAGCAGCTCCCTGACCCCTATATATCCAAAAAGACACCTCATAAAAGAGAGATCAGATTGACACTAGGCGGGTATCCTTCTGGGACAAAGATAGCAGAAGAAGAAAACTGGTAACAACCCTTGCTGTTCAGCAGCTGCTGCAGGTGAACCCCAGGCAAGCAGGGCCTGGAGTGAACCTCAGCAGACCTACAGCAGAGGGGCCAGACTGTCAGAAGGAAAACCAAGAAACAGAAATAACCTCATCATCAACAAACAGAACGTCAATCTGAAAGATTTGAGACCCAATCTGAAAGCCAGCAACTACAAAGTCGACAGGTGGATAAATCCTTAAAGATGGGAAGAAACCAGCGCAAAAAGGATGAAAACACCCGAAACCAGAACACCTCTCCTCCTAAAAGGGATCACAACTCCTCACCAGCAAGAGAACAAGGTTGGATGGAGAACGAGTGTGATGAAATGACAGAATCAGACTTCAGAAGGTGGGTAGTAAGAAACTACTGTGAACTTAAAGAACATGTTCTAACCAAATGCAAAGAAACTAAGAACCTTGAAAAAAGATTTGACGAAATGCTAACAAGAATGGACAAAATAGAAAGGAATATAAGTGAATTGATGGAGCTGAAAAACGCAACACAAGAACTTCGTGAAGCATGCACAAGTATCAACAGCCGAATGGACCAAGCAGAAGAAAGGATATCAGAGGTCGAAGATCAACTCAATGAAATAAAACGGGAAGGCAAGACTGGAGAAAAAAGGGTAAAAAGGAATGAACAAAGTCTCCAAGAAATGTGGGACTATGTGAAAAGACCTAATCTACGTTT